ACTGCACTACAAACCCATATGACATATCTTCTAGAAGACTGTATTCTGTAATTGCTGGTGCCACTGCATCTTGGTGATTTCCTACGCAAGCCTATTAGTTGTCAGTGACACTGCTAGGGAAGAAGCTCCAGAAGAAGGTGGCACAGAGTAGTAATCAGGGAGGACAGGCCAAGGGGGGCTGCTTGGGCAGTGAGGTAGCTCTCTTATTCCTCTACCGTATTTGCTAAGCTAATGCCAGGAAACTAGTTCCTTTGGCATAGACAGTAACCTCCCAAATCCCAAGAGAGCACAGAGAAGCTGCTCCACAGCACCCTGTGCCTGCCAGCCCAGAGAAATGTATGATGGGATATGGGATCATGAGTCCAGGGTGAGAAACCGCAAGGATGTATCATTCGTTGCCACCACCCACAGCATGCCTGCAGATGTGGGACCTGAGAACAGAGTGCTAGTGTGGAGAATGTCAGGAGGCAGAAGCGTGGTAGGCTGCCGTATGTTGGCAAGCGCAAGATTACCTAACCCATGGTTATCATGCAGTGTAGGCAGGTTTTATTAGCAAAGTTCAGACCATGATGTGCTAATTAAAGAAGAGGTTGTCCTAGTTGCTAAGGAAATGAATGCTTTCTGTATTGCTGCTTCTACCCCAGTAAACCATGGTCTCAGCTTTCCCTCCAGTTGCGTTTGCCAGAAAGAGGGGTCAGGGCTTGATATTCTTGCTTCTGTGATTACAGTGCTCCTGTGAGCTGATTTTCAGGTCAAGAGTCATAGGTGGAAGGGGTGCCAGGGAGAAGTGGTTTAAAACACTCCTTTATCAGATACCTGTCTAGTGACAAGCTCCTCTTAAAACTAGCGGTTTCAGGGTATATTATTTTGTTTTCTAAGCTCAGTTCGGCTTCTTCTGGGAAAGATGCAGTCCAGACTAGGAGATTTGCATGTTTTAAAATTGGTCTAACTGTCAGCTCTTCTGGAAGGCAGAGGCTGACTGAGTGTTGGAGCCAGTCCTAGAATGAAGGAGATATAATGGTTTGAATTTATTAGTAAAGAAAGAAGCTGGCTACCACCAGACAGGCATCTTGCTTAGCTTAGTCTCATGAGAAAGCATTCTCTGATTCGTTATTCCTCTACCGTAATATATACTGTGCATAGGCAGCTGCTAGAAACATAAGGATGCATCAACATCAACAGGACTAAAAACTGCATATTGTGAAGTTAATGTGTAAGTGAAAAACTGTCTTCATGGGGTGGTCCATTGCTGGCTGCTAGTCCCACAGCAACTCTGTCATCCTTCATTCTCAGTGTGAGATTTACATCAGTCCCAGCTTGAAACTTAAATGATTGTGTACAGCATCTTCAAAGCATTTTTTTTCTTTCCCCTCTACATCCTCCATGGAAACCCTGCCACCAGCACAACAAACCTCTCTCCTCTGTCACTCTCTGTGGCAATGGTTGTCTGGCTGTAACTTTGTCTCTGTGAGATCCCAGAGCCATGATCCTCCTGTGTCATGGAGATGGGCAACAATAATAAAATTCTCATTAAGAGAAAATTGTCTCTGTCTTTGGGAGACAATAGAGCTCTGCATTAACCTCCAGTTCCCAGTATGCTGGACCACTGTATTTTTTTCTTCTTATGTTTTTATTTCCTGAAGTAATATTCCTCTAGCTGACTATTATACTGGAACACATTCCCTTCATCTGCTCCCCTCCTACCTCAATGCAGACGTTGCAGCATCTGGCATCACCCCTCCCTACCAGCTGGTTCATTGCTGCATTCTCCAGGGAATAAGTTGCCATTTTCCAGACCCTTGAAGTCACAGAGTTCCACTTCTAACTTTCTCTCTGTGAGGACTCTAACCCCAATGCGACGCTTATTTCTCTTTCTCTTAAAAATGCTCCCTCTGCAATCTTATCTGGTCTAATTTTGCATTGCAAACTCTGCAATATCCCTTTACTAATTCAAATGTTTCATCTGCATTGCATTCTGCAGAAAGGGGTTGTGAAACCCTCGTAACACAAAAATCTTTAGCTGAACTTCAAATTGGACTTGACAAATGAGCAGGAATATCTTGCTGCCCCAGATTCACAGCGGAGACTGGGACCTGCCAGAATCTCCTGCTGCCTGCTGGAGGCAGATGTGGACTGTTAGACTTCAAATATTTGGGAGAAAGTTCTGAAAGAAGGAAAGCCAGCAACAGCTGAGCCTAAGTTCTTGCCCTGTGAGTTACTTTGCTTTGGTGTTGTGGTTGTTGATGTGATTGGGGTTTTTTTCGAACAATCTTTCTGTTAATAAAGCTGGAAGCAGAAAGGATGAGACCTTGGTGCTATGATGAAGACAGCATTTTCATTTGCATTTTGGTGGGGGCTTCATCAGTTTACAGGGAGGGACAAAAGCAGCTATGAATATTCTCAGTGTCTGTTTTGTGAAGAATTGTGAGTATCCATGCGGGAGAAACATTCGCTATAATTAGGTATTATTAGTCTCAGTGGTCAATGTTCATCGGAAGTTCATCCTGTCTGACAGTCTTGGTCTGTGATGAAGCCTACTGCTTCAGTCCTTACCAAACTAACAGGAAGCCAAGATAAACAGACATCTCTAAAGACCTTTGCTACATATAAAATGTACCAACCATTTTAAAATATCTTGGAACAATCTGCTTGGCTAAGATGTTAATGCATTTATCAGAGATGCTGACATTTAATAGAGGAATTTACTTTCAGCATGATCTATATTGGATAGTAAAGAGGGCAGGAGTCCTTGAAAGATGCAAAGAGCTCTTAAAAAATTAGGGATTGTTCTCTACACTGTATATATAAATCAAATATATCAGTTCTTGCTTAAATTCTAAGTTCATTTGTACTCAGAGTGGATGTTCATAAAATGCCCGCTCCTTTTTGTAAGAGATCAGATCAGGGATAGGCTCAGCCCTTTTGTCTTAACTTTTACTTTGGTATGTAACATTTGGAGGCTGACTGACTACACCTCTTCAGTGCACAAGCTCAGAGTGGGCAAGAGCCAACATAGCTGTTTTGTCATTCCCATTTAACCTCTATAGGATTATCATTATTTTACTCATTAATGTTCCACTGCCTGTCATCACATTCACTGGTCTCTCTATTCAAGTCAGTTACTGATGGGACAGTTGGGCTCAATAGTTAATTACTTGTCAAATTAATCACTACTTCCACTTGTGAGACACATCTTTAGTGGCATAGAAAGTGTACTGCATTTCCAGGGAGGAGGTTACAAAATTAACTAAAGGTATTTTGAATGTTCCACAAATTGGATGAGATTTGTTGAGCTAGCCATTCAGTGCACTGGGAAATCTGTGGGCTGCAATCCAGAAGATATTTTGTCTTCCCTGCTTCTTTTCCATGATTTTCTCCCAGATTTCATTTTAATTACTTCCTTCAGTTCTCTGAAACAGCAAAATCTCTTTTTCCTTCATCCTTTGCATTTATTTTTGCATAGGTCTCTGGCTCCATTGTCCACTTCCACCTTTTCTTTCACCATCCTGCAATCTCTTCTCCCTGCCATACCCCTCTCTTCCCGCCCCCCACCCCCAATTTTTTTCCCCTCACGTGTTCTTAATGCTTATTTTTATTTGCTCATTTTTGGGGAACTTGCATTCAAAGACCATCTTCTTGCTCAGACACTCCCAACCTCCTCTGGAGGCCAGGTATCTGTCAGTATTCCTAATCCTCCCTGCTTATGGCTGGAGCATTGGCATTTGCTCTCTTTGCTCCAATTGTCATTACCATAGAGGAAGGAGCAACAGTGACTCTTTTACTTACCCTTCTTCCCCTCCCATGTGCTCCTTCTCATCTAGCAATACCCATCAGTTCTGGATGACACATGAAAAAGTCATCAGGTTGGCAATTTTACGTCTTCTAGCGTGCCGTTACCACCAGCATCTTAGGATTTGAGTTCTGAATTAGATACCAAAGATACCAAATGTGTATTAAGATTACATAATGTTCTAATCAGGTTGTGTCTTTTTGCTAAAGGAAAAAATCCTCTTATGGGCATTCCCTATGCTTTTTATAGAATAGCAGTGTAAAAAAAGCTTGCTAATTTTCAGTGCCTACAACAGTATGAGCATTTAAATGTATATATTCCCAGATGAGAACCAGCATTAACAGTGAGTTAAAGATTTTAGACTGTAAATCCCGCCAATGCAAGCCATAAAGAAAAAAAACAAACAAAACCAACCAAGAAATAAGCAGCAAAGTTCTTCAGTGCCTTGTCTGTGCTCCACACAATTGTTCTTTATTCTGGCTACCTTTTACTCCCTCCCACTGCCCAGATGTTTCCACTTGCACCCATGAATTACTGCTTTAACAAATCAAGGGAATCTGGAAACATATGAAGTAAGAAGATCACAAATTTAGAAAAGAGGTTCTTATAACTATAGAAGTACAGAAGTCAGGTTGATTTCTTTTACCCCTCTGAAGAGAACATGTGTCAAACTGGAAAACTAGCTCTGTATCACATACAGATTACTACTTAAGAACTTATTTCCCAAAGCAATGTTTTCACAACACCAGTAGTAGATTCCACCTAACTAGTTCTTCTTTACTACCGCATCTTTTGGTTCTCTCTGAAACAATTACTTATGTGATAATCAGTTAGACTGTTGAATTCTTTTTTTCAAATAAAGGGACTGGTAAGCATAGGGGAACAGAGCCGATTCCTGCCAAAACTGGTGGAGACATTCAGTGCCTGATGAGACATACCTCACGTGTATTTTCAGTGGAGACCCTGCAATTCTAGGAGATGATTCTGCATCACTCATTCACCGAGTCTCACAGTTCAGAACACAGTGAGACCCTTATTTTGTGTGTATGTGAATATGAGAAGATTTTAAAGAATTTATGGATCTGTCTACTTGGGAGGGGGGGTTGTTTTGACTGTGGCTTTAAGAAAGGTGGTGACTTTAGTTGTATGAAATGTGAACAGCACTGTATGAAATTACTTGTCTCTCACCCAGAACTACTAAGAGAAATACCTTTAGGTAGCATGTCTTGATAGAGAAAAATGTAGTAAGCTTTTCCTAGAATTAAAAAAAAAAGCATTTAAGTGTACAAATATATGTAGCGATCCTACCTAATAAACTCTAATAACAATAAATGGTTCATGCACATATGATTTCCACTCGCCTTCTGTATTGTCCCAGATTGGGTCACTTTCCAGCATTCCAAATCTCTTAGGAAGCTGCCTTTTTTGTTTGTTTGTTTGTTTGTTTGTTTGTCAAAACCTACCAAAGAGGTGAACAGGACACACCCATTTTTATAATTAAATCAGAGGGGGTTTCTGGTATACATGTAAGTCCCAGTTCTGCAAAGCAGAGCCAGCTCAACACTTCTCACAACATATGCAAAATGCAATGTTTCTGCCTCAAAGCAGAGGGACTAAGGATGGGGCTGCTGTTGCTATGGGGAAGGAATTGGAGGGAGACAGGCTGTAGACCATGTGAAAAGTGTCCACCTCCAGCAACTCCGAGAGGGTGGGTAGTATGTTGCTGGACACAGCACTGCTGGAGAAGCCGCCGAAACCCAGCAGTGGACATCACACCAGACATCCTGCCTGTTCTCTGGGTGGCGACAGCTGCAGTCACAGCAGCCAACCTGGTTTTCCACAGCCCTGGCATAGACAAAGCAGCCTGCTGGACCACAGCCTACCTGGTCCACACCTGGGGCTGGTCTGCTGCAAAGGTTTATATATTCCTATAAAGCCTTCTTTATTTCTCTGGGAAAACTGGCAGCATGCAGTGTTTATCATGTCTGTATAGCTTTTTCAGAGTTGAGGTCTCAGCACCCATAGTCTTTGGTGACTCACTGAGGCTAGAGATGGGATCTTCAATCTTGTCCCAAAGAGTCTTAGACCTCCACTGAGCCACAGCACTTGCAACAAGCTCTGGAAAATTCCTGAGCTCCTGCAGCTTGACATCACAAAAGCATGTAAACATAAGGAACCTATCTGAGATAATTTGCAGTGACTGCTAAAATTCACTTGTAATTTCCTCTCCCTCTGAGTCCCGTTTACGTGGACTCATGTTACATGGCATGTTCAGAATCCTATCTAATTTCCATTTGTTTGGGGCATAGTTTTTAACATGTATGCCAGTTAGAAGCTATGTAATTTTTCTCATTAATAGCCTTAACCAGTCAAAGAGACATTTGTGCCCACTTTTCCACCAGTTACATTCCAGCCTGGTGTACTGCTGTGTTCATTTCACCTGAATTTTAGAAGTATAAGATGCAACTCTTTGGTTCCTGCCTCTTTGCTCACCAGCCCCTCCAAGTCCACTCTGTAGTATAATTTATGGTGTCTGGTTTGCTTTGACACTGCCGTCCCCCAGGTTTAAATAGCCAATGTACTGCTGATGTGATTCATCAGGAACTAATGTCTAGGTCTCAGGAAAGCAATAGGTTTGAGCAGCAGTACTGGAGGCAGAGCTGGTAACAGCCATAGTAGCTACAGGAAGAGACTAAGGAATGAAGTGTGCACTCTACCCATCTGCAGAATGGTTTGCTCTACTACCCAGCTTAGCCTTCTCAGGCTGACAACATTGCGCAAGCTCCCCAGGGAATTGTTGTGATTGTTTGCCCTCAAGTAGTGCTGAGAGTCATTTGGGATTTTGACACTCAAGTTGGCAGTCTGGTGTTGAAGAATGGATCCGTCAGAAATATGGTAAGGTTTCAGCACTGTCTGCCGACACCTGCCAGCTGAAGATTTGGTGCTCAGTACCCAGGAGGCAGATGAAGTTTTGAAAGCTGAAGATGGAAATTTCTTTTTTCTCTTTCCTGCTCAGAGAGGAGTAGGTGTGAATTTAAACTGTTGGGAACAGGATATTTTTAGTATTGTATTTCTTAGTAATTTCGATTAACTACTTGTCCTCCTGCATTTACTCTTCCCACTTCATCCAATTTACAAAATAAGTCCCTATCTTTCTGTCCCTGGTGAAATGACACACACCTAATAGAAGCAAGCATATTGCTTTCAGACTCCTAGAGTTAGCAGCCTGCTAAGAAGAAGTTGACACATCGTTTTGAGATAACCATCTTCAGTCTCCAGAGAAAGGCAGATGCCCCAGGGTCTGCTAACATTCTCTTCTGAGTTTTAAACTTCTGTTTGCAAAAATAAGGGAAGAAGAAGGTATCAAAAAAGAAAAGGTATCTATATGTTTGCATCAAAATTAATTTGCAAATACAGAGTTGTGGGGCTACTGACCTTGTGTGATCCTGTCACTCAAGGGATGTTAATCAGTCCAATATATGGTAAGATTCTAGGGTAGAAAGTGTCACTTTCTCACTAGACTTGGTGTGGAACTGCACAACTACCCTGTGGACAGGTCTACTTAAATTTTCTTCAAAGGATGCCTTTGAAGTAGCATGTTAAGCATCAGTTATATCAGGGATGTACACTGTGCTGAAACTCCATTGCACTGAATATCTGAGGCATAATTGTGAAGTCTTAAGCTCTCTGGCCAACCCAAACATTTTGCGACAAATGGCTTCAAGCATGTCCTTCTTCTGAGGCTATTCTTTGCAGCAGACGAAACTGAAAATTAATATTTTCCCAAAGGCTACCTCCTTTCCTAGCAGAAGGAACATAGGTCTAGAAAATCAACTGAAACATAACATTAATTCAGCTGGTGTAATTCCTCTTTCAAATCAGCCTTCTAATGTCTTAAGACAGTATGCTCTGCTCGCAGCTCTGCTGGATTTGATATTTTGTCACCTGAAGTTAGTTATATGGACATTCTGCTACAAGTTACTGCACGAAGGGTAGGCCACAACTTTCTTTGTTCTGAGTCTAAATCTGCTCAACAGTAGTGAGAGAGATTATCAAAAGAATCGTGTGCACCTGATTACTAGTATATAAAACAATTGATCTACTGAGGTAATGGGGCAGATGGACGGAAATCAAGCAATGACAGCTGTATCTTCTAGCACCCAATTTGTCATGCAGGTGTCACTTGCATCTCAGCCTTTACCATGTGTATGCTGGTGGATAGGATTGTCTTCCTGTTCATGCCCTGTTAGACTGATGCTGTCAAAATATTCTTCAAAAAATGTGATTCATTAGTGCCCCAGTTTCTTCAAAAATTCTCAAAAGGGAGAGTACCTGTTGTGAGTATTATTTCAGGGAGCAAACACCAAATCTGATGGCAGAATCCTATTCTAACTGTACCCATTGTACAAAAACAAATGGTTTGGGGTGTCAAAACATTGAGACCTTCAATGGCATAAAAGACATCTAGGCATCGGACATGTTATTTGTGCCTATTAGGGTTTTTTTTAATAAATGTCATCACTAGAAAGAAACTAGGAAAAAAGCTTCCTGTTCATATAAGCACTTGTGAGCAATGCAGCCAGTACAAGCTTGAAGCAACAAAAACTTCATTAAGACTCCATCTTCTCCATCCTTTTTCTGTAATATCTAGCCTTACACACAAAAACTACATCAATAGAACATCGCTGTGGTTGAAAACTCAAGTACACGAAGTTAGGAAATGACAACTGAACTTTCATATGCAAACAAAATTTGATACCCCTTTTTTTCAGATTATGATACAATTCCTAACTATGTGATCACAGAGTGATTACTACCAGACCTTTACTTTATTTGATGTGCAAAAAGGTCAGGTGCAGACTTCACGGCACTCTTTAGTACCCTCATCTCTCTTAGCAACACCTGATTTCTTCATCCAGACAATCCTGGTTTTCATCTTGTATCCCAACTCCCCATCAAATCTCTTCTGTTCTCTTTCTGTCTCCTGTGGAAGAAATAAACTCACTATTGTTAATTCCAGTATCCATCCCTATCTGGGCTTGAGTAGAGAGGGGTAACCGGTTTGGAAAAACTCAGTTTTGCTCCTGCAGTGGTGGATAGAAAAGAAGAAGAAAAAAGAAATTTAAAAAAATCATTTTCTGTCAGGGATCAACAGATGCAAAGCCTGGTAACAATTCAAAGGAGAGCGAGCTTTCATAGCTGCTGTGTTAGACTAGTCAAGGAAGGAGAAGAGGTCTGAGCTTACTTTATGGGTATAGATTCTTTAAGGATGCAGCTCTTCCCTTTTATCAACTCTCTACTAAGCACATATGGATTTTTAAAGGCTTACATAAGTAAAATCCATTTTTTTTTATGCTCACATGCTGGTGGCATTGTCCCCTAGCAGAATTCTGAGAGGATTTCTTAATCCATCGCTAGTTTTGAGGCTCCAGTTGCTGGCCACCCAGTAATATATGGCCCACCACCTCTCAAACTTGTCACAGATTATCCTGCAGAAAGAGGATTTGCAACTAGTCCTTCCTTTCAATGAGCTAATTGATAAAAACAGGGTAAGACTCCTTCCTATATTACAGCCTAGTAATTGCCATAGCTAAGCTACCACTGTATTTGGCATATAAAGCCCATTCTCAAGGAGTGGTATCTTTTTCACCTTGATCTGGGAGAAGGTAAGGAAATACAGTACCTCCTGCTGATGATCACTTGTCTTGGCTGCATCTATTTTGCGTTTGGTTATGCTGAGTGGAAGAAGGTGGGAAAAAGTTTCAAAAAGCCATTGGCATCAAGTCTGGTACTGGAAAAATCTCTCAAGCTATTCCCTCTCATTGGAACTGCTGTAATATCAAGCTGGCATAGAAACAATAAGGCAGCACACTTGGAAATATTGTCAATGCGGGCAAAGGGCACCATGCCAGTGTAATTTCCAATTCCAGCACTGAGATCTTGTGTGTTGATTGGAGAAGTGATGTTTAAAATTATTTTTCCTCTCTGTAGATGAAATTTGTCTTTTAACTGACTTAAACACATGCTGATTTCATTGGAAACTTTGCTTGGTCTGGTCATTTCTTTTAGGTGCTGCAGGAACTGTGAATTCTGATGCCACCCACGGTAGTAAAAGCTTATTCTTTTCCTCAGTACACAATCTGATACAGACTGCAATTTTAGAGTAAGTAGCAATGCCAGCACCTGTGTGGCTGCCAAGCTCAGAAATGCAAGTACACACAGAGAGTGTAAAATACCTATTGAATTGGTTGGGCTTTCTTGTTGCTGGATTCCTTCAATGTCACCTTCAGACTTTGAAGGACTGTCCTTTTTCTGGGTCTGGCTTTGTCTGCTTGGCCTCTGGTATGTCTGACAGCTTTAGTTGCACCCAACAATCAATGGAAAAAACCCTACTGTGTCAAGATACAGCCTGAATCACAAAATGTTGAAGTGTTAAAGTACTTATCTGAAAAAGAGGTGTTTAATGTTGACAGGTTCATTGCCACTAGTATTGGTCTTGCCTTGTTGCTTGACCTGTAACATCAGCTTGCCTGTAACTGCTGTTGAGACTGAGGAGGATTATCCTTTTGTTACTGACAGTTTCACTGCTGAGATGGGGTGACCTTTCCTATTCTTTTGCCAACATAGCAAGTCCAGATCACAGCTCACAACTTCTCAGATGCCAGCAAGAACATAGAAACTTTCTTTGGCATTGACAGTCTTGGCCAGAGAGCTGGATGCATCTCACAGTTGCATCTCAGCCCCAGCAAAGGAACATTTTATTTTATTCACAGTACACTTCTGAGATACACAACCACTTGTGGCCACTAAATGAGTTCATGTTTGTATGCTTGGCTGTTCGGACTATGCTCCCTGTTTATATTCAGAAGCATGTACATGTATTTCCATTGTGCTTTTGTCTGACAAGGACATGAAAGTGGACTTTCTTCTGTCAATTTTGTTAAACTGCCAGAAAAGATTCATATTGGGCAGTCTTACTGTTGTGATGGCCAAAAAGCAAGTAAGCCTGAGTCATCAGACAGGATCTGGGTTTTATTTTACCCTTCCTTCATTGGATAGTAGCAGCTATAATGCATTTCTGCTTTCTAGAGAAATCCTCTAGAAAATGTCTAAAAGCATAGCCCTCATTGGGAAAAAATATGGAAGTTCTAGGATCTGACTGAGAATTATGGTCATTTATTTTTGGCCAAAAATATTCCTATTTGACTCATTAGGTAGTGATTCTTATAACTAAGTTTGGGGTAATTTCCTTCCCCACAGTGCCTATTTTTAATTCAGGTATTTTTTTATACAGATTCTAAAGGCCTGACCATTGATACAAAACTTAAAATTATTTTAACAAGTCTTGATATCATGCATTAACTTGTAATAGGATCTATGTTTTTATCATTCATCTGTCCATTTTAATTTTGTTTACATTTTATATTTACACTTAATCTTTAGTCCTGTATAGATTTTTTTGGTCAGACTTAACAAGAGTTTTAATATAAAATCAGCATAAATGTGACAAAGGCCAGACGTGTTACTACTGACACTCTGACTGCCTAAGGAAGCAATCCAAGCATTCATATGGCACCCTCCAAACCTGCCTAACCCAGTGAGTTAGGGACATCGGAGCTGACAGATGATGCTGGCCATAAAGGACATTGCTTGGACTGCATGGAACTTGATGGACATCTTAACATTGTTTACTTAATCATTATTAGCCTTACTGTTGTTCGTTGTCTGAAGAGGATATTTGACTGTGGGAATCACTCATGTCACAGGTATTCTCCGAGTTCATATAACTGGCAGTTATTCCTACTTTCTGGCAGAAACACTCTGTTAATGACTGAACGAGCCTTCCCGCTCTCTTAAAGAAGACACAATTCTTCAGCTACTGTAAGGCCAGTTTTCCTTCTAATTAGCATCCTGGCTCTGGGGAGGCCTGTATCGGTAACACTTTCAGAAGTTAATGAAGCTATTCTGAAAACAATTAAACCTTCCATGTCTAAGACAGGTGCTTCTAATGGAAACAAAAGGTCTTGTTTTGATCAGGTAGAGTATCCTCTTTTTCACCAGAGTAGTGAAAGGTGTCCTTAGATGAATTAAAATCTAAATGTGTAAGGCTAAGAGGGGAGGAGTGATACTTCCTGTGCTCTAATACTTCTAGAAAGGATAGCAGATATTAATTATACAGGTCTACATTTCATTTAAGGCTTTTCATAGTCTTATTTAGCATTCATACTGCAGGGCAATAAATGGAGAAGTATAACAAAAGAAACAGAGTAACAAGAGAGAGACACTATATCCGCTATTTGCTTGGGAGTGAGGTGAAGCAAATAGAAACAATTACTAAAAAAGAACTTCATAAAAGTGTGTGTGTATGTATATATGTGTATATATATTTTCCCAGAACACAGACTGGGACATAAAGGATAATTTCGATTGAATACCACTGAAATCAGTGCAGTTGCTCCACTGACTTCAACATACCTTGATTTAGGCTAAAGAGTACCTGGGTCAGTTTCACCTTCATAGACAGTAAAGTTTAAAATTATTTTAAAGTTTGTCCAATGGTGCTTTTCTTTCCCAGAAGATTCTGTAAAGGGAATGATACATGTTAATACAGAACAGTTACGCTACTGTACATTATCCAGAATTTGACTGCAAACAGCATAGGTGTGAAGATTCCTTTGTAAAAAAAAAAGAAACTTCAAACACAGCACTTGTTACTTTTTGTTTAGGATGCAGTTATGCATTACTAAGAGCTCTGGAAACATTGGCATTGATTTTATGGAATATGAAATAAAGTCTTTTCTGAATTATATGTCATATTAGCAAAACAGTAATCAACTATTTCTATAAGTATAAATACAGGATTGATGTGACCATGGTAGGTCCAAACTTAAAGAAGTACTATCAACCTGAAATCAGATTAACTTCATAAAATTAAAGTTGCACCATATTTATTCTGCATATCTTCACTTGTTTTTATGGGTTTAAAAGCACTATTCCTTAAAAAAGACCAAACAAACAAAAAAAAAAAATCCCCAACTATTCTCTAAATGACTGAGTCAGAACAAATGGAAAGTAGTAACTGGCAGCAATGAGAAAAAAAATCTACAGAAAGTTCTGTCAGAGATATAAAGTAAACAAATAGGAAAATACCCCTTTCCTTCAAGTTTTCTTTGATATAGGGCATAATACTATCTAAGAATCTAGTATGGATGTTTACCTTTTTGTGTCTAGAAGTACAACTGAATTCTGGGAGAAACCTATATGAAAATCAAAATAAGTTAACACAGAACAGTCAGTTTGTTGTCTGAAATCTATTTTGGCATAAAAGAGAAATAATTTCTATTTTAATAATTTCCTTTGCATTATGAAATTTTTAGGTTTTCATGACGTTTTCTAGTTATTTAAAGGCATTCAGTTTACCAGTCTTTATTTTTTTTCCAGTTCCTATAACCCCAGAGAATCTGAATCTTGCTCTGACTTTCTTGGGTTTTGTTGATTTTTCTTTTTTCTGTTACGTGCACAGGAAAATCTCCATTAAATTTTAATTTACTGCCCATTGTGGACAGCATATGTAACAGAGCTTCCACTTTACACTCAAGAACTGGGGATTTATTTTTCCAGAGTAGATTAAATTTCACTTATTTCTTGTCTGAAAGCCTTTTCCTACTACAAAAGATGTTAGGAAGCAGTAGTCCTGTATTGATTGCAGTGGCAGATGAGAACAAGAATCTCAAGGGTTAGGACTTGTTTCAGACTTTTGATCCTGCTCTTCATGCTCTGATACTACCAACAGTTGTGCAATTTAGCATCTAGAAGTTAAGAGCGGCAATTTATAAACAAAGAGTCACAACCTTCTGTGTTGAAGCGGATCAGTTAACACAACCCAGTCAGCCTGCTAAATCAGGTTTGAATTTCTGTTCCGCATGAAAACACCCTGAATGGTTGATTTTATGAAAAGTGGCTATTTCATCAACTCCACACAAAAGCAGGTCATGGAGAACTTAGCTTTGTCCATGCGTATCCCATATCTTGAGTGGGACACAGCAGCATCAGCCTCACTAGGTATTTAAAATCCTGATTAACCAAAGGAGCGTGTGTGGAGGAATGGGGACAGAACACCTTCCGGGTTTTCAGGAATGTTTTAGCTTCTATTGCAGCTGGCACATAATGCACTATTAGAGTAGTAAAGCACTTTTCAGTCACCTCCTGAACAAAGCATTGCCTTTTTCCTCAAAAGACCTCATAATGGTTGAATTCAGCTAGAACAATGAAGCAACTGTAAGAACATAAAAAGGACTCCACTGGTGTTAAATAGGAGGTGAACTTCATGCACTTTTATAAGTTTGAATACCTGTGGGCCTTACACCTCCCTTTCACTTAAAATGGTTACACTGGAAATAATTTTGTTCTTTTCATCAAACCCCAGACAATCTGTAAGTGTTTGGGGTCTTATAAACAGACTTAATCCTATTTTACTTACTGATGTTCTGGTGTAGTGAAAGTACCATAACCTGTTTGAAGTTGTGTACTGTTACGCCTTTATCTCTTGTTCCAACAGGAAAAAATGAGACCAAACACTCGTGATAATTTTACATCAGTATAACTTGATCATATAACACTATCTCAAAATTGACATGTTCCTATTAAAAAATAAAGGTCTGGTTTACATAATTTTTTAATAATAGGACTGTTAAAGCTTTGAGATTTTCAACCTTATATAACTGTCATTTTTTTTTAAACTATAGACTTGACATTACTATAGGTTTTGCTTTTTTTGTTTTTTAAATGTAAATAGACATCTCACTCCAGAACCTGTGTAGCTTCTGGAGAAAGCTTCCTTCTGGCTGAATGAAATCTGAAGTGCAAATATTTGCATCTAATTTTTTCTACCTCTCCTTGGCATAAGGATCCTTCTGCATTGCTTGTTTACCCTGTCCAAAGCAATTGCCACTTCAGGATTTTCAAGGACAAAGACTGATGGAGCGATTTTATGATGAATATGAAAAGATTACTCGCTTATAAACACAATTTCTGAAAAACTCTATCTTCATAGTTACTCACTCCTCCTGTCCCTGTTAGTTTTTGTAACCTAGTGGTAATCATTCTTGGCTAGAGCCTCTGACAAATGCTGCTCTGGGTTTGGACAACTGTTGTCCATTTTGTGAGTAGGTCACCAACCTGACAGATGCAGAGTAATTTTAAGTAAGACATTTTGTTTCAGTATGAAGTTCCATCATTTGTCATGTATGGTGGTACATTAGATAATCCTAATAATCCATGCTGCTCTTAAAACCTAAGAATTTTTGTGGGTGCTGGGAGTTCCCTGCTCTAATAGCAGGTAAAAACATTAAGAACCTGCAGAAATTGCTCAATATTTTCTAGGATCAGACTCTGACAATTTACTAGTTTTTAAGACACAGCATGAGACCAAAAAAAGTGAAACTGCTGAGAATTCCAGTAACAGGCAGTAGACAATCTGGCTTTATTAATAATGAAGCCATATACACAATCCTGTTTCCTTCTCCGTACATCCCCAGCAATTCGTTCATTGTGGTTGTCACCACAGCAGTTACAATCCTTCAACAGTGCAAGAAAACGTTATTACATGAAGGCTGATCCTTTAGCTTCACTTAGGAGAATGGACAGAATAAGCCACTTCAGTATCGCTCATTTCTGACTTTGATTTGCTCATGAAAATAATTAGCACGATAGAGACCCATCTGTGCGTTACCGTAGCTTCTCCAGAAAATCATTCATATCAGAATTAAATTCTTTTTACAGATATGCAGAGGGCTTTTTTACCCCCAAAATGCTTTCCTAGTTGTCATAATATGTCAAAATTTGCAGTTGGTAACACTTATGTGATATCACTGGCTTCATGATTTACTTCAGGTCATCTGATACCACTCTTGACCAAAGCACGAGGAAGTGGGCGCTGCTGGCGGCAGAATGCTAAGCTTGATGGACCACTGCCTTAACCAAGTCTGGCAAATACTATCGTGCCATGAATAACCTGTTCCAGAGTTCACAATATTTTGGTACAGCATACTGCAAAACATAATTTCTGCCCACAATAAAGCAACTTCTGAATAAGTTATAGCATTTAAGCAGTTGACGTTAACAAGAGAAATTAGCACCTGTGGTATCTTTTACAGAACAACATTTTTCTCTTAAACTATTCCCTTATCGTTCTGGAACAGGAAACCAGTAAGTACTGAATAGTATCCCTCTTATTTCTACTTCTGATTATTTACATTGTTACTCAAAGCACGTGTATACTTTCCTTCCTCTTCCATTCCAAGAATGGATCAACGCCTTTTTAAAACCGGACTGTATGCACATTTGCTCCCCTCCTCCAATTTCTGTTCTCCTTGCACTCCTCTCGAAACTTCAGGCACCCTCTCCACCCATACGCACAGTTTATCATACGGTCCTCTCAGTATGCTAATGTATTGCAACAATCCGTTTTACACTGCTAATGAAGTGAAAGAAAGATGATGAATAAAAATAACAAAAATGAGCATTGATCGTTGTTCTATGCCCACGGCGGGGGGGGAAAAGAGAAAAAAAAAAAAAAAGGCGCATTTATCACTTCACTCTCAGCAGTTACCAGCGCGCAGGGAAACAACACAGGGACACGCTCCGCCGCATTTAAGCGAAAAGATGTGGTGTTCATTTGTGACGTGTGGTGGTAGAAAGTTGGCTCTTCCACCGCCGAGCGCG